ACCGGGAATAATAAAAAAATATTTACTATTTGATAGGTAACTTTTCTTTGGATACCGGGCGCCGTAAAATAATTAATTTTATCGTTTTTAGTGAAGAAATCTCACGCTTTTAGAAGGCAACCGGCAGTATTGAAAGCCATAATTTACTATTTATTCAAAAACTGGTATAAGATGTCAACAAGCGAAAATAAAAACTGTCTGACAAGTGGTTAATAAAATGATTTACTTCTGCGTTTTTACTTTTTCACTACATGTGCGGCTAGATTCCTCGAATTTCGTGTACATGTTGGATTGAAAAGATTGAAACTGGATTTCCAATGTATGCAAGGTCTTCAGTAGCAGTAAGAAGACGTTAACGCATACATATGTTAATTTAAAGCTTCACAGCGTGCAGTTTATTCATTGACTTGCGGAAGTTGGAATGCAGGGTCTCACTAAGGGGCGTAGCCTGCGTAGCAGGCGTCAAAAGGGGAAGGGAAAGCAAAAATTCTGGGGCGCGAGGATGTTGAAAACGGAAACCTTTTCCCCTCTTTTCCCTTTTCCCCCCTCCTCGTGCTCCCCTCGCGCTGTCACGCCCCCAATTCCCGCGTCCCCGTTCCGGTTTTAAAGCTGCCACACAAGCTACTTTTAGGGGATTAATCCTAATTAAGCCCTTCTACTGTTAAGTGGTTTCTAACAGGTTGCAGTTGTGTACATTGGCTTGCACCTCACATAGAGTGCAAGCAAATGTTACGACATATCCCTTTAAGAACAACAAAAAATCAGAAGATTTGAAAGGGAGTTAAATGCTCATTTAAGGTACTGAAAATTTGATGCGCTTTACCTCAAGTCCACTAACAGCCTTTACTGACTGTTGAAAAATGGGGCAGAAAGAAAATTTTCCTTAACGTTCCGTTAAAGGTATTGCATGAGACGAGCGGACGCTTTCTGAACATAATCCATACTTGACGCGCCAAGATGGTACGTGTCATTACAAAAAACCCTTAACATTTACTTGGCTTTTTGAAAGACGGTGCAGTTTGCCCAGTAAAAGAAGCATCATCAACTATTTAATAAGATAAATCACGAACAAAGTGCAATAATATCTTTAAATGATCAAGAAAACAGAAGATGGTTGAAAGGACTAAGGACCTTTCAATATAGAGCAACCTCTCTCTGGAATGAGTTGCAGCCTGCACTCAAACTTAGCCCATCCGTGACGGAATTCAAGTGTTCACTCAGGCAAAAGCTTCTTAATGACTGCTTTATTTAATTAATTTAATTAATTTTATTGACCTTTGTCTTCTTTTATCATTGTTATATTCTTATTGTCATGTACTTGGTTCATAATTTTGTAATGTAAAATTGACTCTGAAAAGCCTCGTGGGGACGAGCCAATAAAATATGTATGTATGAATTATAAGTGACAGTTTGCAGCGTCTCTCTTTTTTTTAGAAAACGTAATGTGTTCTAAAACGCTCGACGTGGCATACCGCACATATTAAAACGCCCATTCAAAAACGTCGATCGTGAAAATGCAAATAAGTGAAAAATGACGTTAATTTAGTGTCAATCAAGAAATCCCCTGGGTATATCCCTTTCCTGGTTATTGTTCCTGCTCAGACATCCGCAACATTTGCCTATTCTTCGATGAAGAATAGAACTTTACGCGACTAACAATAGCTTAGTCTTTTTAAAAACTGTCTAAATTTACTCCGAATTAGCATGTGTCTTTTTGCTGTTAAACGCTTCAAAATTGAAAAATCCTCGATGATTGTTGTTGATTTTGCCGTAAATAATTCAATGCACTGACTTAAAATGAATTTTTACCTTTTACAAACTTCTTGGTGTTCGAATCGATCGATGAAATATGAGCGCAACCGATGCGTTGATAGTTTGTTTACATTTTGTCACGGGTTTTGGATAATATTATAAACCTTAAAGTTTACGGGCAAATTCGACGAAAAAGCACTCTCACTTACATTCTTCATTTAAGATATTGATTTTAGCAAAGTATAAGGCAAAATTAAGAGCGATACTTTCTTTAAGAACGCTATAACTACATATTTGACGGCCAAACCTAAACTGCGATCTAATCCGTCTCTTAAAAACAACTACAATACCGCTTCTGATAATAATATTTATAAACGCTGCAAACATTTTTATTCAATCTTATCGAGTGATTTTCGTGAAGATGAGTTTTTAAGTGAAGAATACTTTGGTTTCTGACTAGCTTTAACTGTTTTGTCATCAAAACGATTCGCACGAGACTACCGAGTTCGCGAGGGTTTTATGTAAGTGCACGAGGAAGAAACATGCTTCTCTTTGCATAAACTTGAAGCACTGACAAAGACATTCCAACACTTAAAACAATGGCAACCTACTTCTATTGTTTCTGCATTGTCTCTTGAAAGTGTGACAATAGTTAACCGCTATGAAGTTCATAAGAGACCGAAAACGACGGTAGTCTTTGAAACTTCGTTTTTGCTCGCAAAGCCTAATGGGTACCCCACTTTTCACGGGCGACGTTTTTCAATGGGCGCGTTTCTGTAATGAGAAAACTCAGCTCTTAGTTACATCCCAGGTTTGACCAGCATGGCTGCCCTTATACAGGGAATACAAAGTTTAGGAAACAGACTGTAAACTATCGTTGCCATTGCAATTCAGTAATTACATTAAATCTGGCGGAATATGCATGAAACTGCTTTTGCGGAAAGAATTGCGTTCGAAAGACATTTGATAATCTGACCTATTTTTGCAGACAGGGCAGTTTCGCACTGCACATTGGGACAAAGCGAAACTCCATTTCTATTAAATTTACATTGTATATGAAATCAGTCAAAATAAAGGCATAAAGTATCATTTTTAGTTCTCTTTAGTTTGCATGTAGTGATGAAATACTTTTGGTAAATTAAAAGTCACCGGTCTTGCTTTTGTTGTTCTTATTGTTTATTTATGCTTTAATTAAGTTAGCTATAAGCTAACAATATAATAAAGTACACGCCCGTACCTGTTGTAATACCCGTACGGCGTTAAAAGCCAAAGAAAATGTTGTTTTTGTAATATGCAGCATGTAGCGCCTTTATTACCCAATCAGCTTGTTTTTACTTGGTAAGAAGATTTAGAATACTTGGATCCTTGATTTGTTAAACGCGAGCGCATAAAACAAAACCCCCACCTGTCGACAGGCCATTACCTCTAGATTCAGCAGTAGGATGGACCTCAGGAAATTTACCGTTTTTGCCTTTCTCCTGAACCTGGGGATTCTCGCTACAACTGTAGAAGGTACACAGCTCTTCTTTTCATCTTAGGCCATTGCAATCTACATGTGTAAGTTCTTATACCTGACAAAAATGATACTTTTTTCTAGTAACAATTGTTTTAAAAATTAATCCTCAACTTCAATCTCTTGAAACCCAATTCAACTCGGTCGAAAACTTTTTCATTAATATTTTTCTAGGGAATAGTTTTAGATCTCAACTAAAAGCAAGAAGGTCTGGAGGTTAGATCATCTGAATTCATCATAGTGATTTGTTTACAAATGTGGGGGACACAACCGCCACTCCATCTCGCTTTTAAGTGACTAAATCAGTGCTCTCGGAGCTGACGAATTGCTAAGTCGATTCGATGTTTTTATCATCTCTCGTTATTTGCGAATCCTCTACATGCAAAAGCAATGCTATCAGGAAAATGACTATATTTCAAAGCTCTCGGTCCATTTATTTGTTTGCCGCAACTCTGTCATAATATCTACAAATAGAACAGTCAGGTCTGTAGTCTGGTTACCACTTGGATCGAAGAAACACGAAAAAAGGGATAAACATTTATCCGATGTTTCATATCCTCAGATGACTTGGCAGTTTTAAGGTTTCAAAACTTAAGATTTTGCCAGGAGGGTGAGGTCTTTGAAAAACCTGCCCTTAAGACTCCACACCCACATTCTGAAGCAATGCCGAAGTTTTAATATATTTCAAATTTTTAAAGGAATAGTAATGATTTCTGTCAGTTCAGCGACCCGCATTTAACAGAAGACCTTAAACAAGTTTTATATTTTTGATTTTTATTTTTCCCAGTCAGTCATTCCCATGATTCCCGTACTTCTCGGTACCGATCTACAGATTTCTTACTTCGTAGAGTTCTGTTTTAATCCAATCAACGATAACTGTCATTGCCCCTTGCCCTTTTGGTGCAAGGAACCGAGATCACCTGATAATGTTTGTGCACGTGTAACTTGACCAGAATCAAGACATTTAGATTTTCTTTCAAGTGGAATAACTGAAAATAAACAAAAAAGTAGCTAGAGGAGTCGAAATGAGACTTGAAGCAATTCTAAAGAGAATTGCCAAGCAATTTGAGTTTGCCAGTAGGATGGACTTCAGAATAGAGTGAAACATTGAAGCTTGATGACAACAACAAACCAAAACAAAGACAACCTCAATAGGATTTTACCTAAGTGTGCATTTTTTTTGTTTAATTTAATATTACTTTCCTAAAATTATTTGTCGCCAAATGCCTCAGCGTGCGTCTATATCGAGCTGGCCAGATATCTGGCCCGATATGCAATTCGCCAACTTATTCATTACCATTTTATGATTAAGAGCATTTTGGGTATTTTGAATGTAAAGTATCTGAAGTATATATCGTAAAATTCGTCTTCCTGAATTTTCTTCACATAACGACAATCAAACATTCTATGATACAAATGAAAAGCGTTCTTTTAGCGCATTTTTCGGTCCTGTGCAACTCGACGGTAGACTGAGTCGTTTATTGTTCTGTTTTTTTTTTTTGTATTTAAATAGAGCTAGGCCAAGTTACGTTGTTACCGCGCTATTTATATGAAAATGAAATTCACAAAATCCGTGAAAAAGAAAAAATGGCTTATAATTCACAAAAATAAATAAAGAGGAACCGATCAGTTCCATCTTCACATTATATTTCGCAAGGAATTAATTTCCACATCTAAAACACAGCTGCTCTGAGACACGCCCCTCGTCTCTCCTTAATTTCAAGCCACACTCTACTCATTTTCAGGTATTTCCTACCAAGTTGGAAAACTAAACGCATCAGAGACACGTCAAGGATGGAATTGCAACAGCGGATGTGAGGCGCCACAACATTGTACACTGCCCCGTTGCACCAATGTGGTATTTCCGCAAACGTTTAGTGGATCTGGAACCGTAAGTAAACCCTAAGCAATTAAAACTTATAGTCTAATCTTCAGGGTTCGGGGTAACTTTGTTTTGTAAGTGAACCACATTAAGCTTCTTTAAAAATCTAATGTTCTTCACAAATTTTGATTTACCAAAGTACTTGTGGTTTTATGATGCTTTGACGTCAGCGAATTTGGTGCGCATAGGTATGCTTAAGTGTTTCTGATCCCTGGGATGTGTTTTTGAACAAAACAAAACAGAACAAAACAAATACAAAAAGCCGGAAGATTCTGACGATAAATATAGAAGGTCTCTATTCCATGAAATGGGAATGGCGGGGGGGGGGTAAGGTGTGAAAGCGTGTGGGGAGGGAAGGGGGCGATTGGGTTGGATTAGCAAGACTCTCTTTTTCTTCAGATTAATTTTAGTGCGTGGAGTAAACGCGCGCGGAAGCGTCGAGCAGACGCGAGCAACGAGGGAGGCATTCTCGCGCCTTCAGTCACGCGTAAGGTCACGCGTGTCTCGCGCGTTTCGCTCGACGGATTGGGAAAAAAGAGAGACTGCTCATAGTCTAGGGTGGACTTGTCGCCTGTTAAATTTTCATTGATGCCTGTCTTTACCTAACGCATTTCAGGTTCGAGTTTTTGTGTCATTAAGCCATGAAGATCAGTCTTCAGTTGTTCATTCGCCTTCCGCTGTGTGGGCAGAGTCCGTTAGTACAGCTGGATTTCAGTTATGCTCGCGTTCAACAGGTTCTACAAATGACACTGGAATTATCAACTGGGTAGCGTTTCAGGACAAACCCATGTTAACGCATGGAAGCGTTACTTTTAGCGGAATATGGACAACAGAAACAAAGTGTGAGAAGATGGCCTTTTCTCAGGTTAGATAACAATTGATAACAAGTATACAATTTTGTTATAAAGGTGTAAAACGTAGTTAAATAGTAGAAACAAATGAAATAGTATCAGAGAATAGTTCTAAAACAAATGATCACTAATTAATATCCGGCATTTGCTCTTCATAGCAGAGTCCACTGCTAAAAGTCTTTTTAAGCTTTCTCTCGGGCTTAGTTTCAAACTTTTCCTTCCCTCGCCACAAGATAAGCCATTTTCACGTTTTACTTTGGAGGTAGTGATTGAATAATGCGTGACCGTTTTGAATGTATTGATGTGTTAAAGGGAATTTGGAAAATAGAAGTCTACTTATTTAATGAGATTAAAATTTTAGCATTAAACTTAACAAAGTTAGCCGAAAAGAAACATTGTTATTTGTAACTTTATTTAAGTAATGGACCAAATAAAATGCATTCACCAACCTTTTCAACACTTCTTAGGAAGAGGTGAAAGAGGGGTAGAAAATTGAGTTAATGGGAATAGACAAGTAGATTTAATTAATCTGCTCCCCTTAGCCTTTGATAAATCCTTAATTTCATTTAAGTGCTGCTAACTACTTCTTAGATACGTTCATGCTGATTTATCTTTCGATAAGCTTGTTTATTTTTCAGTTAATAGTTTTTCATATATCTAACATTTTTTTGCAGAGCTTTGCTTCCAAGCCTCGTGTATTTGTCTCTGTTAAGTACACTCGCAGTACAAAGCCAAATGACGCTATGTACGTATGGTTAGAAAACGTCAACTCTGGAGGATTTGAAGTGTGCTTAAGGGAATTCTTGTCCTTTGATGGAAAACACCAAGATGCAGTTGTGGTAAGTGAAGAAAAATGGTCGAGTAACTATAGTATTGATGAAAACAAACAAACAAACAAACAAACCAGCAAACTTGACTTTGCCACACTTCGGCAGCCCGGAAACCCAATTACCCAAAACGTTTTTGACGCAATTAACGTCAGTGTCGTGTCTCACGTGTCTCATGCAGTCATTTCTTGTTAAAGGAAATGTGGTTCGAAACCTGACGCAACCCGTCTTGTAAAGAAAAGGGTAGCAAATTAAACATTATTTTCTTGTCCGCAGGACTGGTTTGCATTCACTGGAAATGGGAGTCAACTTAATTTCACAATAATTGGGGAAGAAATCTTTCCAAACAGTGGAAATCCATCGTCCAAAAACAACTACGGCTTCTGTCAGGTGAAAACTTTAGTTCTAACAAGAACATTTAGCAAGTCAAAGAACACTGATTTTTTAGCGGTTAAGTTCACACTAAAGAAAACTTAAAATACAGTAAACCCAAGCTTACCAGGCCATGGTAATCGACATTGTATCCAAAATGGCAATTCCCAGATGAGCGCGACATGTTTATCTCGCGATTTTGATGTGCGCATATTTCGCGATTCTTAAATTTCGTGACTTTGCGAGAATTTTATATTTCGAATCTCTTCAATTTCGTGTTGTAGACAGTGGGCGAATATTAGAAGTGGGGACTTTACAGAAGATGGGCAAAAATAGAGGGAGAGGTGAGCACGTTCAGATCCATACTAACTTACATGACTTTTTTTACCTATTTACAGGAAGTGCCTTTCAATACGACCTTTTACAAATCGCCAATTGTGATTCTTTCCGTAAATCATGAGTATAATCTTAAGGTCAAGGGAAGTCGCCCTCCAGAAAATAATATAATTTCAGCCTGGCTAGAGGTAAGTTTGCCTTTTTATTCGAACCTGAGAAAACAGCCCGCCCGACATTTCGCGCGACGCCACCACTAGTTTTCCCACAAAATGAGGACTGAACCCCGAAAACCCCGTTTCACGACGCAATTACTGGCTTTCCCTTGAAAAGGCGTCTGTGGAAGAGTGCAGAAATTCCATACTGATGACATGTACTTCCCAGATCAAGATAGTGCTTCTGATTGGTCATGCTGCAAAATAAATTTTCCTTAACCAATCAAAAGCACTGCCTGCCCATATCTGTGTAGTGACATATCATCAGTACGCAATTTCTGCGCTCGTTCCTCAGACGTCTTTTCATTTAGAAGCCAGTAATTGCGTCATGAAACGTGGTTTTCCACACTGGGTTATATTCTTGATGGTCACTTGAGGTTAATGATAATGAACAGGGATTTTTTCAGTACTTTGCTACATTATTCTATTCAATTGTTTGCTTGAACTCTCACGACACCATTGAGATCCAAAAGTCCACATCCCTTGTTCAATCAGGGGAGAGAAGAAATCCGTTTATTCTGGTAAATTTATAAAAGGACTGTGAAAACTGCGTAAAAGCCATAAGAAACCAATAATTTGGATCTGATCCATAAATTTCATGACTTAAAGGTATCGTCGTAGAAATCAAGAAGAAATTATGAATTTTCTAGTAACTGATTAGTGCTATCACATTTTGTTGCAGGAAGTTGGATTAGAATCTATGAAGCTCTGCGTTAAAGACCTCAGTGGATTAGGATCGAGTCATGATCCCTTGATTATCAGCTACGCTGTTACTGGAGGTTGTTTATTAATTTTCCTATTGTAATGATCACTATTTCTAGAAAGAACTATTGTCATCTTTGTTATTATTTTTATTGATATCTTTTAGAAGTTCTTATATGTAGAAATACATTTCATGATATTAATTAAAGAAACGCTGGAGTACAAACACGGATATACCTTAGTCATGTTACATGCACTCTATCTTTGCAGGCACTTCAAGATTGATGGGATAAGAGCAATTAGAGGGCACACAAGTAATAAAATTGCCAATACGAGTAGTCGAGTAATCCCGGTCGGGTTTGTTTATTCCCTCAAAATAAGACGACGATTTTAGTCATGCAAAATGCAAAATGTAAACTTCGACAAGTTTTACGTCATAATTCCTTGCTGTGAAGATTTCTACTGTCGCCTACTACATTCAAAATCACTTCCACCCATATTTTGCGATTTTCGTTTTTTTTAAGGTCAAAACTTCTTAATTTTCTATTGTGTAGATAATTAAAACAAACTCGACTGCATTCTTGTATTTACTGACTTTATCTCTTGTTTGCCCCCTGAGAAACCACGTAACATTGCTTTAATTTATTCCACCAGTCCGAAGCGCGTGCAAAGATTTGGGCGGGTATCGTCAGTAAGGTCTACTAAGGATAAGAAAACGTCAGTTGAGGTACCTACAAGCAAACATGTTACTAGTACTGTACAGTAACTTAGTTTTAATTCAAATATGAAAAATATGTTAGACATTTATGTTTTTTCCAAATGGATAACTACTCAATATTATGTTTCTTTTTTTCTCGGTACAGACCTTAATCCGTGCCTTAATGTGCATTGCCCACGGTTTGGAGTCTGCAGGACCTATAGTGCGCATGACGCTCGGTGTGAGTGCGATGACCAATGCCCCTCATATAAAGACCCAGTGTGCACTGCAAACGGAACAACTTACGACAACCGATGCTGGCATAAGTTAAGCTATTGCAGAGGACTTGAAAATAATCTGGTCTATCACCCAGGAAGTTGTGAAGGTAACAAAAAATAATTTCAGCGATTTTTTTGGCTGTATATGCCACATAGAATAGTCTGGAAGTTAAGCTCTCGATCGTTTAGAATTATAGGTGCTGGCTCAAAATTACATTGGCTTCTAGCTATGATGTTTATAACTTTTCGTTACTTTTAAGCTCGCTTTTAGCTCCCTACGCAGGGTAAGCAACAATAGGCAGCTGTAACAAGCTACTTCGTCTCTCTACTTTAGCAAACGAGCCTATAACAGCCCAGACTATAGCCGATGTTTGATCTGTGTAAGATCTTTTATTCTCTTTTGTCTTGCAATTTAGTTTTTCTGCGTAAAATTAGATTACACAAATTTGCTCGGGGCAAATATGGTGCAAAAAAGTGCAAAAGAGGAGGAAATCAAAGACAAAGATAGTAAATATCGCATTTACATACCAGTTTACATGGAGTTGCATATTTAAGAGCAAATGCAGTATTTACTATCTTTGCCCTTGATTTCATCCTCTTTTGCACTTTTTTTGCACCTTATTAGCACTGAGTGAATTTTTAAATCAAATATTTCGCGCAGTGGCCCAATATACTGGCATATGTTTATCTTTATACTGGCATATGTTTATCTTTGCACTGAAACCAGCATGCAATAATAAGCAGCCACTACACTGTTGAAAGGTAGCCGACATTGCAAGTTACAGCCTAGTTTTAGTTCCATTTCCACGCTTTTTTTTTATCACCACCCTTCACCACTTAGAGTTGCACTACAACGCAAGCTAGGGAAGCTACCTAAGCGATAATGCTTAAAGAGCACAGTGATGCTTCCTTATTAAGTACTTAATTTATTATAAAACAGGTTTTCCAATTGTACGGGGCCGTGTAGATCTGCTACAGGTTCCAAAATGGTCAGATTCAAACTGTCAGACAGTCACATTTCCTCCATACCGGTTTTATCCGGGTAAACAAGTTTATGTTCAAATAACCGTCAATCACATGAAGCTGAATGACTCTGTGACAGTCCACGACGCTGTTACTTCATGGACAGAAAGTATCAACACAAAAAACTTCACCGTCTGTGTCATGCAAACCGGGAGGAAAGAAGAAGGCGCGAATCCATTTGCCACCATTGATTGGGTGGCTTATCAAGGAGCACCGCCCGAAGGACTGACGGGAACAGTTGAGTTGCAGAAATGGTGGTCTGGTACCAACTGCGCAGATGTAACCTTTCCTACGGTGAGATGGGAATTTACATATTAAATTAAATAATTGTTGCAAATTCAACTGAGGTCTCTCATTCATGTGACATCTTTAATCCATGTCTTGAAAAAAAAAAAAAAACAGCAACAACAACAACACCAAAAACAGCCAAAAAAACAAAACAAATAAATACTAAATAATTGGAAAATTGAGTCTCATGTGACCCTTAGCCAAAACATGACAGATTTAATCACGACTTGTCTGCGTGACAAAAGAAGAAAAACATCAAGAGCGAAAGTTGTGACCGACTTAGCGACTTAGTTAACAAAACAACATTAGGTAACAAGTAAGAATGGGAACTTACTTAGTGGTTGGTTTCAAGTAATTTTGCAGAAATGTTAAAAAAAGGCTGTTTCGATTATTGTTATTGCTTTTTCTTCAGGGCAAGTTTGCCGAGGCGCCAATAGTCCTTGTGACGTCAGAGCACCTGAGGACTGGTAAAGAGTATGATGCTGCTCTCATTTGGATTGAAGACGTAACAAAGGACTCAGTTAAAGTCTGTCTTCGTGAAATGCAAAACTTTGACGGTAGACACCAAGATATCACTGTGGTACGTTCTTAGTCAGATTTAAAAAAACTGGAATGCGACTGTCCACAAAATTTGTGAGGAATGCTGGTCTTGTTAAAAGAAAGAGCTAGAGCGAGTTATTAGAAGAAAAAGTGTGCTGCACCTGCAATTTGGTTTTTTGCTAATTAGATCTATTAGTCTTGAAGCCATTTTCATTGTCGTCCCCCGTTTAGCATTACACGATTTAATTTTTTTTTTGCTTACACGTATTTTTAACCAGAGCTTCGCTTTTAGCCCTGGCTAAATCTATATATTAGCGTTAAGAGGAAAAAGTATTGCTAAGTAAAGATTGTCCGGGCGATCGCGAGTGATGATCAGTCAAACGATCAGTCAAACGAAAGGAAATGCAGAAAGAAAAACATAAAAAGAAACGGAAATAATAATAATAATAATAATAATAATGAATAATGATAATAATAATAATAAAAATAATAATAATAATTTTTTTTTACCATAATTTAAAATCTTTATTACAAAACCTCAATTAAAATCCTATTTACAATCAACCAGCTATTACAAAAGATCTAATTAATTCATCAAAAACACTATCCGCAATTCCTTCATTAGAGAACAAAAACAATCCTATATATAATAAGTGAAGAAAGAAAAAACTATTCATTTACAAATTCTAAAAAATAGAAGTAACTTAACCTTACATAAAAGAAGAGGAAATAGATATATAATTAATAATAAAAGTTCAAAATTCTATAAAATTAAGAATTCCATTATGCAGAGATATTAAGATCACACAATCAAATTATACTAATGACAGTAGAGTTCAAAATACTTAGATTCAAAGGGGCCTAAAAATGCTGAGTTTATTTAAATTTTTTGTTGGTGTAATACGATTCTGTCACAAGATGGGTGGCATCACCATGTTTTGCTTTTACCTCTTTTCACAGAACTGGTTTGCCTTCTCCAAACTGCACAAGCCTCTTTTCACTGAACATGGTGTCATAAGTTTTCCAAATACGAACCCACCTTTGGATAAAATGAACAATGCTTATTGCCAGGTGAGAAAATAATTCTTTGCAAAAGTGCTGAGTAGCATGCTGTTCACAGCATTTTCCCTCACAAATATATCGCTTACTTACATCATTGTCTATATTTTCAAAACACTTTTAGTCATATACACTTTACGCAATAGAGATCAAAGTGACTATAGAAAAGTAAAGAAGCTGGTTCACTAAACAATACTTTAAGACAAGAGGTCAAGAACTACAGACCGATGACGTCCCTCTTAAACCATCGATCGACAAAGTGTTTGAGCAACTACTCTGTAAACAGGTGACTATGAAACTCGACCACATCTTTTCTAGCCTAAGCGCTGCTTACAGAAAGGGACACAGCTGTGAGACCACTCTACTACGTCTGAATGAGGACTGGAAGCTAGCAATAGACAGAAAAGAACTAGTATGTATTCTATCGACTGATATGAGTAAAGCGTTTGTCTCTCTCAGCCACTCGCCGACACTAACAAAGCTTGAAGCATACGGTTTTGAGTCCTCAGCGTTGCACCTCACGCGATCATTCTTTAACAACCGCCCAAATGTTCATCCCCCTGCTCTGGAGCGTATTTCAGAATGACCTGCCCTGCTCCATAACTACCGCTAAACTTTCGATCTATGTGGATGACCGCCAGTTGTACACCTCAGGAACTAATTTTACAGCTGCAAGGGAAGCCTTAGAGCAGGAAGATCAACTTACCGCGTCTTGGTATCGTGATAATTTTCTACTCGCAAATCCTGACAAATTCCAGGCGATGATCCTTTATAATAGAAATATTAACATTGAAGGCTAATACACAATCACCTAGTCTTCAGTCTTTCGAGAACGCTATGAGAAATGTAGACATTTCTGGTATTTTATTATTTTATTTTATTTTATTAGATTCGCCAAAAAAACAAACAAACAAACAAACAAACAAACAGAAAGAACGTTGGCAGGGACACCGCAACAGCTGTGGCCAGTTACAGTGGGCCTGGATACTAAAAAGAAAAAAAATAAAAACAAGAACTAATAAAAAAAAAACACAGCGACAAATACCGTATTTAACAAGACCATGTGTCGATTTGAAAAAAAAAGGTTAGATCTAAAAGTTTATGCCAGTAACAAATAGGTATTAGGTTTAGAGTTTGGAAAGGAGACTTATAACTTATATTAGAAGAATAAGGCAGTTTTAACATAAACTTAGTCGCGCGTCATTGGACACGCTCAAGCTTCACAATGAGCTCGATGGACTGCGGGGCCCAAATTTGGGTGGCGTATCCCAAATGTGGCCTAACTAGAGCTAGGTATAGCGTTCGTCTTACGTCGGTTCTAAGTAGGAACCTCGTGTTCCTCTTTAAGTATCAAGTCCTTTATTAACACGCGAAGATTGTTCGTTTACTGTTTGTACCATGCCAGATCCTTACTAATCCATACGCCCAGATCTTTTTCTGCAACATATCACAAGTGCGGTGTTGTTGAGTTTGTAAGAGGATAAGATCGGCTTTGTTTTCCTTGTTATGGGCTGCGCCTTACACACTTAGCTTCGTTAAATAGGAGACCTGATGATTGAGACCAAGTTGCAAGCTTACCAAGGTCTTTGTGGAGAGAAGACACCCCCCCAAAGTCTTAATCTCTCTGAATATTTTGTGTCGTCAGCAAACATCAATAATCAACTGCTAGAACTGATGAATTCAGGAAGGTCGTTGACTTATAAGAGGAAGAGTCGGCTGGTCCAGAGGTAACAGGAAGATCCTCTGAAGCGAAGCCGAGTACCCGTAACGCGTTGGCGTCGACCTGACAGTTAAGAACAGAACCAGTTAAGCACGTTGCCACCCAAACCGGCCTGGATTAGCTTATGGACGAAGCGCCTGTGACTGACTTTGTCGAAAGCTTTTGACATATCAAGGTAGATGGTGTCAACCTGGCCGCCACTATCTAAATTAGTGAACCAATGTGGTCAAAAGCCTCAAGCAGGTTGGTGACGCACGATCTTCCAGAACAAAAACCATATTGTTTAGGTGAACTTACATTGTACAGGTGGTCCTTGATACTATTCAACACACAACGCTCAAAGACCTTGGACACTATTGGAAGTAGAGAGATGGGGCAGTAATTTTCCACGTGGTCTTTTGCACCCTTTTTGTGGAGATGCACGACGTTAGCTAGTTTCCAGTCACTCGGGAGAGACCTTAGTTGCAGTGATTTGTTAAAGATCCTACATAAGGAAGGAGCAATCACTGAGGCATTCTCTTTGAGCAATTTAGCAGGGATTTCGTCCGGCCCTGTGGCTTTACCGACTTCTAGTGCTTTGAGTGTAACTAGAAACTTGGACTCATTGAGCGGATATAACAGTGTCCGAACGTATGTACGCTGTCTTCTCCACTGCGCTGCCGATAGTAAATACAGAGGCAAAAAACCTGTTAAACAGGTCAGCTATTCCCGCAGATGTATCAGCACTTAATCTTGAAGGGTTTTGTGACTGGTCAGCGGAAGAGTCTGGGACGGTTACCATGGAGACATGGTCTGGGATGGGATGAGATTTAGAGTTAAGCTTCAAATTGACCATAAGTGCTTGGGATTGAATCTAAAGCCAGTGTCAATGGAGTCGTTAAAGTGATCACGGCTTTCGCGAAGCAGTTTCTTGACTTGCGCCCGCAGAGACTTAAACTTATCCCTCAGGTCGGCGTGCAGATGTGACTTAAGGTGGCTCCGTAATTAACCCAAGAGCATTTAGCTGTGACAAATTTTCCGTCATAACTTTTTCGATTTTAACGCAATGGCTGCGAAACTTTGCAATTAACAACAGATATCATTCGGCAATAATACGAAATATTCCGATTTCATTGATGGTAAATATTTCTTGAGAAATTAGCGCTTAAAAGGACCCTACTGTTCAAAGGAAATCGCGTCTAGTAAAAAATTTTGCTGATATTTTTTACTGAAATTTCTGGTATCGGCTTTAAAGGATATAATAAATATGCCAGAGGAATTTCAGAAAAATCGTTGGAGCAGAAGTCCGTAACTAAAAGTCGGTCAAAATTCAGCTGTGAAATTGTTTTGGAATTTCAAAAATAAATTACTATCAGAAAGAAGGAGCCACCAGTTTGAATTTTTGGGACAAGTAAATTCAACGCTTGCTAATTCTTAAAACAAAAGCCGATTGCCTATCGTGCTATTCTTTGAAAGGTACTTTTTAGTTTTAGAAGAACTATAAATTGCTCCAAACCTTGCTCTGAAGTAGAATGACTTGTTCGTCGACAGTTTTAAAATATCCCTTGGCAGTTTTGGCTCAAACTCCCGCTGCATACATTTTGAGGTATTGCCATGCATTTTCAACGACTTTTACTGCCGTTCGTTGCTTCCAACTCAGGAAAAAAGTATTGAGATTGGACGCTACCTCGTATCAGAGCTCAGAAAGAACTGTCCAGCACCTTTGTTTATGACTACAAAATGAGCACGAGCGGCAGCTCTGCGAGGAATTCGCACCTCAACCAGGGGGGACGAGTGACAATGATGCCCTTGCAGAGCAAAACATAATAATCAAGAAAAAAATACCCATTCATTGAAGGAAGGAGTGACAAAAATTTCGGAGTTGTAAATTTATTAACGGGCAGTATTTTTGCGATAATTTTATTTTGCACTGTGATGTTATTTGGATCACAAGCATGGTCATCATTGTCGTTCGTCCCCCCCTGGTGAGGTGCGAATTCCACGCAGAACTGCCGCTCGTGCTCATTTTGTAGTCATAAACAAAGGTGCTGGACAGTTCTTTTCTGAGCTCTGATACGAGGTAGCGTCCAATCTCAATACTTTTTCCCTGAGTTGGAAGCAACGAACGGCAGTAAAAATCGTTGAAAATGCATGGCAATACATCAAAATGTATGCAGCAGGAGTTTGAGCCAAAACTGCCAAGGATATTTTAAAAACTGTCGACGAACAAGTCATTCTACTTCAGAGCAAGGTTTGGAGCAATTTATAGTTCTTCTAAAACTAAAAAGTACCTTTCAAAGAATAGCACGATAGGCAATCGGCTTTTTGTTTTAAGAATTAGCAAGCGTTGAATTTACTTGTCCCGAAAATTCAAACTGGTGGCTCCTTCTACCTGATAGTAATTTATTTTTGAAATTCCAAAACAATTTCACAGCTGAATTTTGACCGACTTTTAGTTACGGACTTCTGCTCCAACGATTTTTCTGAAATTCCTCTGGCATATTTATTATATCCTTTAAAGCCGATACCAGAAATTTCAGTAAAAAATATCAGCAAAATTTTTTACTAGACGCGATTTTCTTTGAACAGTAGGGTCCTTTTAAGCACTAATTTCTCAAGAAATATTTACCATCAGTGAAATCGGAATATTTTGTGTTATTGCCGATTGATATCTGTTGTTCTTTGCCAAGTTTCGCAGCCATCGCGTTAAAAACCAAAAAGTTATGACGGAAAATTTGTCACAGTTAAATGCTCTTGTATTAATTACGGAGCCACCTTAAGTTTTTGGCGAACTGAGTTCTATTTCTTGATTAGTTTTAAAATGTCACTATCTATCCAAGGAACCGGGTTACGGCCTTTCAGTCTCTTCGATGCCACGAAGTCCTTGACAGCAAGTCAGAAGTCCTTCCGGCACCGCCCGTCATCATCTATATTGTTATGGCCCACAATAGAAAAAAGATTGATTGCCGAAAGAGCTTAACGCCAATTGCCAATTGCGTAGTCGTAGACAAATTTGCGCGGGTGTGAGGACGCATTAACAAAAGAATTGTACTCAAACAGGACTACACAATGATCCGTAAAAACACCGGCTTTATCAGGTGACAACGCCTCGGTCACTTTGGTGTCTTCTGAGGCACTTCTTATCACTAGATCAAGAATGTTACTACCGCGAGTCGGTGTGTGGTTAGTTTGCGTCAAGAAGTGGTCATGTAACGCCTCGATAAATGGCAGTTCGTTAGCACCTGAAGCGCTATCCACGGAGTCCCAGAATAATAATGTAATCTTCTGATCAAATTTAGCAGAAAATAACTGTGACTGTTGTGACCTTTGCAGATCCTAATTTTACGATGTTAAGATTTTTAAGATTTTAATATGTATTATTATGAATTACTATGTATTTTAGATTAGTGTGCCCAATTAGAATATATCATTATAATTAGTATTATCATAGATTATTATTATTATTATGTAATTTTAGATAAATGTCCCCAATTAGCCATATACGTTTGACACTTAAATAAAGTTCTTATATCTTATTATATTGTTATAAGGCATATCAAAAGATCAAAATGGCAGTTTGTTCTGTTAAAATGATTAATCGCAAATATTGCTTGTTCAATTGGGACTTCAAAAATAGACACATTGACGGGAACTGAAGCTTTAAGTGATTAAGAGACAGTGTTAAACGTTTTACGTTTCTCTTCCATGGTAGTTCGTTTCATTCACGAGAGTTTATAACTCGACTCCAACAGTTCTTGTCTCAGCCAATCACAGCACGACGGCATCTGGGAATTCAGCACCAAATCACAACGGAATTACAACTTGGATCGAGGTAAAGTTTTCCGTTATTGGGGGGTATTGTGGGGATGTATCAAGGCAAACAAACTTCAAACCAAAACTCCAAGAAAGATATAACTGAACAGAGACACACGCTTGCTTGAGGCGATGTATTGGTCGATAATAGATGTGGCGCAAAAATGTGCCGAGTGAAGTTGGGATTGCTTATCGGCTTCCTTTTGACGTTAATTATCGAATACGATTATGGTGTCGGTACAAAATAATGTCTTTAAATTATCAGCAGGGGCCGCGCGCGGTGGTCTCGAACTTCAGATCTGATTCTGCGGTTTTAAACGTTACTTTAGAGCTGTTTCCTTGGACACGAAACTTTGCTCCAATCATTTGGCTGCTTTATTCATCAACAGGGATATTTAGCTCCGTCCTTCTGGGCCTCATAGCTCATTTGTGCCACTGCCTTGCCCCTTATTAGTGTAAAAAGGATATTTTGGAAAAAATTTCGAACATTAATTCACCATATATTTTTTATACCTTTGTTATTTCTAAACAGTTCTTTAATTACTTTCATCAAACCACAGTGTTAATTTACGGCGAATCTTCGCATCTCTATGTTACATAAGAAGACGTAGGAGGGCGTTTTAAAAATATTCTGGTATTCTCTTCCTGTTAATTTAGTTGTTTATGACTACAATTTTAGCTGTACTAAACTACGTTGAGCGCTTATTTTTTTTTTTTTCAGAACATGAATACCTCTGGATTCAGAGCCTGTGTCAAGGAATTATACGGGACCAGATATGATCCCTTGTCCGTCGGTTATTCCGTGCTCACAGGTCTGTAATATTACTGAGTTCATTTATGAAGTATTTTTTAGCAAATGAAAAAAGAAACGTTACTTGTTACCGGATTCATCTGGAAATACTTCGGAAATGCCCTAAACTAATAACACAATGCAAGTTGATGGTTTCGCAAGTCATGGCGGAGTCAAGAGAGTGTACCTGTTGACATAAAAAAGATTCTTGAAATTCTTTCAAGTTGTAATTTTCCTACCCCTCGAAGAATTTCACCGTTTAAGGGACTGTGCAATAATTATCAGGAGGGGGAGCTGAAAAACTAGAGTTATCTAGCAAAAACTTAGACGGTACCCCCCCTCCAAAACAAAAAAAAAATAGTTCTAACCCCCCCTCTGTTATGTTAAAAATAACGTCGCAGGAGAGGCAGGCAAGAAAGAAATTTTACAACAAATGTTTCGAAAATTCTAGATCTCAAATCTTCTTCCGAACAGATATTCTTCCGAAAATTGTCGTTGGGTGCCCCTGATGCCTGTATTGAGAATCTGTTATTGCGTTTAATTTTATTTACATTTCGAATAAACTCAAATGAGTGATTTTACTTTGAGCCCCCCCCTATCTTGGCAGCAATTTTATGTAATGCCCCCCTCTAGTTTTTCAGCCCCCCCTCCTGATAATTATTGCACAGTCCCTAATTAAAAGTTTTCTTAAAGGATAAATAACGAGGATAAAAGACCTTGCTAGAAATTAAAAACATCATGCTTAAAACAATCGTTTGAATTTTGTGTTTCTTTGAAATAGTACAGTCTGTACAAAAAAGTTCGATGTATTTTATCTCTATGCGAGTGGTATATCCCTGTCGCTAGTCTGCTATCCAATAATATCTTACTAGTCCCTTGAAACTATTAAGCTTTGGAAAACATTTTCGCATCACGCTCCTAACAGTACTGCGAGGGAGATGCTGCTAAGGATTTATCAATCCGGCGGTTTATTTGAATGTATATATTTTTGACGCTTACGTTTATCTGTATTTCGCAGGCATCTGTGAACCTGGCTGGAACTATTTCAACGGCTTTTGCTATTTCACAAGTAACACTTGTCAAAATTGGACCACAGCACTGGATAAATGCCGACAAGAACACTCGGTTCTTGTCGATGTCCAAAATAACGAAGAAAATGTGTTTTTACAGCATCTACACAATGGAGCAAAATCCTGGCTGGGATTGAATGATGTTTTCACAGAGGGCTCCTTTACTTGGGCAGATCGTGGCACTGGGAACTTTACAGCTTGGGCTAAAAACCAACCGAACAATTTTCGGGATGAAGACTGTGTGCATACACTTGGTGTTGAATATAAATATGAATGGAATGACGTGAAATGCAGTGACTGTCATCAGTATACTTGTAAGAAAGGTAAGATGTGATGTATAAGTTTAGGAATGCACAATATAGAAGAAAGTCTACTTAACAAAACGCATTTTGGTGTGTTAATCGTGATAAATATATAGTTTTTTTTTTCATCTTGAACAGATCTCAATGAATGCAGTAGGGACAAGTATTACTGCCATCAGGTCGCCAGCTGCACAAATTATCGTGGTTCATTTAATTGCACTTGTGATCAAGGCTACTTTGGAGACGGCTTTGAGTGCGAGCTTATCAGTTTCGCAAGTATGATCAGATATAAAATTGAAGCACTGCATGTTAATGATGAACAGCAAGTTCATTCATAGTAAACGACGTGCTAGTGCTAGTGCAAGTATCACGCTTTGTTATATTGCGGAGCCGTTCTAACGTTTTCAATGGCCATCATTCAGTAGTTTCTACTGCTTACATGCAACGTCTAAATTTTGGAGTGTCTTTTTAATATTTCCCAAACTCCCATTCTAAACGACATGCTATGGAGAAGAGTAGCTACGCAGGCGGCATGGTATCCTCCTCCTTCTTACGAGGCTAAAGTTTACTGTTTAATTCGGTGGCCTGGTTAATATTTTGCATATTCGGCCTTATTATTACCACTAGTTTTAGACTCTTGTTGTGAGGGAAGTCATTCGACAGTTGATAATATTGCCTTGCAAGGTAAGAATCCAATTCGCACTGAAAAAGAGTTTTTAAATTCCCGGGTCCGTTCGTTCACCTTCACTATTAATCGCCGACCGATTAGCTCAATTGTATAGGCGCCGGTCTGCCAACCGGGAGGCCACCAAGTGCACCAACTCAGGGTCTTTAAATAACTGAGGAGAAATTGTTGCCCTGTGAAATAACATCTGCAAACGGTTAATAAACTTTTTAGTTTTCTCAGATAAGGACGATAAACCGTAGGCCCCGTCTCAAAAACGTTGCACATACATATTTTAGGACGTTAAAGAACTCACGCTCTGTTCGTAAATAGTAGGGGACCTATTCTTCGGTGTTGTGGTGGGTGGGACTGTTATGGGCCCTCGGGTAATAGGCGCTGCGCGCTGTTGCGGTGACCCTGCCCAGAATTCGTGAACCAAAGGAAATAAATTAGTGATAACTTTGTCTCTAACTTTTGTAGGGGGATTGAAACAGTCTACTATTGTGGGGAATGATGCTAACTACTTGCAATATTTAAGCACCTGGCTCAAACCAGTTGCTCAGAGTCTTCTTTCTTTACGATGGAAGAGATGTTGGCGGGCGTCCGTGGACGGTTGGGCTGCCAGTACCTTTCATAGCCATTGTGACAACAAAGGACCAACTGTAACAATCATAAGAGTCGGCGGGAAATACATATTTGGAGGCTACACTAGCCTCTCATGGGGTAAGTGGTTTGGTTTTTCTAAAACTGGACATTCTAAAATTAAATTGTCTAAGGAAGTATTTGAAGTAGATAATAGGGCCATTTATACGAGGAAAAATAAGACGCGTCTTACATAAGACGCGTCTTAAATAAGACGCGAACTGTACCATTTTATACGAGCATGTCTTATCTAATAAGACGCGTCTTAGCTAAGCCGCGTCTTATTTTAGACGAAATGTGCCGTTTATACGGAAAGTTCGCGTCTTATTTAAGACGCGTCTTATTTTTCCTCGTATAAATGGCCCTAATGTTATTACCACGAAGAGGACTAAAAAAAGTGCATTCATGCTGTTTCAAACTTCATGGCCCTTATTCTATTTCGGTCAATTCGCCAAATGGAGGAGAATTATTCTGGGTTTAAATTCGAAAAGTTTCTACCAAATATTAGAAAAAGAAAATCGTTGTCTTGTGTTCACGTACCCCATAGAACTAAAATAGGGACGTTTTACGTCGTATTCGTGCAGCGAATTCGCCCGACAATTAAATTCTGTGCTGACGTATTTTCTGTCCAGAATTGTTCCTCTCTAAAGTGTTTTTCAGGTAAAGTATATTCCGCTCAAGTGCCGTTGTAGTTTAAAAAATCAGTAGAAATGACAAGAACGCGATTGTGAATTGATCAAGGCTTAAGTTCCTAAGGCTTCCATTTCCGGCTCTTAAAACTAAAATAAAAACTGTATGTAAAAGATGCAAGTTAGACGGGAAAAATTACCACTTAGTAATCAAGTCTTTTGTTGTTATAATTTACACAAAAGAAAAACTGAGAGAGTATTTTGATCAAAGTTACGTATACTTATATCAACCTGAATAATAGCATGAAATCTTACTTTTCCTGATTTTATCTCACCTATTGTAAGAGTCCAGTCGATGCCCAGGCACAACCTGACGATTTTAAATGTTCTTTTTAAACTATTTTAAGTTTTAAATGTTGTAGTCAATTACTTAAAGGTGATTAATGTAAATTCATGTTGTATCTTTTAAATATATTTTGCATCTTTTTCATTTAGAATCTTATCGTATCTTTTAGAGTTTTTATTGTAGTTTGTAAGTAATTTTATCCTTCTTTCTCATTTTAGTTCTACATCGTAATCATTTTTACATGGCCCCTCAAGAATTGTTCTTTTTTTAACTATTTTAAGTTTTAAATGTTGTAGTCCATTACTTAAAGGTGATTAATGTAAATTCATGTTATATCTTTTAAATATATTTTGTATCTTTTTCATTTAGAATCATATCGTATCTTTTAGAGTTTTTATTATAGTTTGCAAGTAATTTTATCCTTCTTTTTCATTTAAGTTCTACATTTTAATCATTTTTACAAGGCCCCTCAAGAATTGAGCTTTAAGTCTTTAGTGTTTAAATAAAAGAAATGATGATGATGATGATAATGATAATGGCTTATTAGTAAAAAGCTTCAGTATGAATTGGTGTATTCAAAAAAGCTACACGAAGACCGAGGATACATTGAAACCTTGGCATAACGAAGGATCAAGCTTAAGAGACCGACAGATTTGTTCGCTATATAACGAGGTTTCGTTTTATCGAGATTCTTTTCCATATATTTTACTATAACTGCCGTAAAGAAAATCGTTAGTTACATCAAGGAATTCGTCATACATAGGTTCGTTATATCGAGGTTCCACTCGGCTGTAGTGAACAACAACTGAAAAATTCACGCCTTTGTATCGGGGTGCCCCTAACTGAATTTTAATCTGCAATTTATCGCTCTTTTCAATGGCGTTTAGCTTTTCAAATAAGTACCATTTTATTCCTTCAAAAGTAAATACCTAAGTAAGAATAAACTTAATATTAAAAACACACTTTTCACGCGACTGATATCTTTGCTATTTAAAAGGGAGTTAAACTACTACTAGTAGTATCAGTATCTTTTCTTGTCTGTATAAATTGGAATTTTTGAACCAAGTCTGTTCATTGATCATCCTTCTGATTTCTTGTTTTCCCAACAGGTTACAGCAGTTGCCACGGGTATCGATATGATTCCCAGGCATTCCTTTTCTCGCTGGTTAACAAGCCAGGATGGGCGCCTGTGAAACTGCCTCAGACAGGGCAGCATAGTTACTACAATAGCCACTCCATATACGACTGTTCTCATTATGGACCTACTTTCGGTGGAGGCCACGACATTACCATTTACGAGTATACTAGTAGCAATTGCTATGCCAACCTTGGCCATACTTACAGCCCACCAAGTGGGTACAGCTATAAAAGCACCTTTACCAGGACTTTTCTGGCAGGCACTTACCAGTTTACTCCAGACGAAGTAGAAACATTTTACGAGACAACCTAAAAACTGTGGCATTGTTTTAGCTTTAAACTTGACAGTCAGCTGATATTACACTGATTAAGTCACGATAATATTTTTTTTTATATACACCAGGCAATAAAAAACGAGATATATACATTTTAATTTGTTAATTTAATATTGAGGCCTGTAAGTTACAGTACAAAACTTGTACCACCTTATTAAAGTGATCTTTAATATAACCAAATGTTCTTATTTCATTTCAAACATTTCTGCTCGTCTGATTTGCAAAATATACAACTTTTGCGGTTTTTTTTATATATCGAGCTGTCTAGTCAAATTTGGAATGTTAAGCCTACATTATTTTGCACTTTTCGTTTTATGTTTTACCTTCGTGGTTTTCTTGACCACGAAAGACTATTGAATTGATATTTGTTAGCCACTGGTGCGAGCGCTAGGTCAATATGATGATATTCCTCTACTGTAGTGCTACGGCTGAAACTCTGTTCAAGTGAACAGGGGCACCCAAGGTCCATTTTCGGAAAATATCTGTTCGGAAGACGATTTGAGATCTAGAATTTTCGGAACATTCGTTGTAAAATTTCTTGCTTGCCTGCCTCTCCTAGGATTTTGGAACATCTAAAAAATGGTATAATTGCCCATTTTTAACCGATTTTGACTTTAAAAAGCTAGGTCACCTAGAATTTTCGGCAGCCTTTTTTCTGAAATTTTCGAAAAGGTAAGTTTTGATCCCTATAATTTTCGGATCACTAGACTTTCAGCTAGGAAATCCGAACAGATGAAAGATTTTTAGGGGATAAAAATATGCCTGTATCTACCCTTTAAATAGTAAAATACGTTTAACAATGCCATGTTTAAGTGCTTTTGAACTATATTCTCGTTGGGTGCCCCTGTTTGACGGAGCAACTGCTTTGCCGGCTCAAACCAACAAGGCAGAGCGGCACGTTGAAGATCACGCGGATTATGGAGGAAATCACTTCTAGCAGCTGCTGTAAGCTTTAAGAGGCTGCTGGGAAATGGTAGACTCAGTAGTCCCAAATGAAAAAGAAAATGTGCCTCGTAAATACGTGCAGACGTATTGTGTCGCAAATCTGTCTGTTCTTTTATTTAGGGGTAAATAACCTGTACTTCACTAAACTCAAATCAAGGGTCACTCTTTATCGTAACGCTAGAGGGGAAAGAATGCTCGTTGAACGTGAAGTCGGATTTACTCTATCTCTGATCATATATTATGTCACGATCACGCAAGCCACCGTCTCAAACAGAAAGTCTCCTCACGCGGTTTCAAATACAGTAGAACCGTCCCAGTAACTCGAACTCTGAAGGGAAACGGAAAACAGTTCGAGTTACAGCTGGAGTTACGGCGAGGGTTCGAGTAATCGGGGTCGATTGCAAAATTCAATTTGCCATGTTAAAATTGATAGTTACTGATTTCAGTAGTACAAATCTAACTTATTTCATCAGAAACGGCAAAATGATTAACCATTTTTACTGATAAAACGTGATCTTTGGTGTTGACTAGTCTTATTTTTAGTGTTTTTACCATTAAACAACAAGAAGAAGTGATTAATGGGATGGCATCTGAGTGAGTTACAAGAACCAGAATTCGAGTTATCGAGGGTATATTTTAGTGACTTTTTGAAATGTAGTTTGAGTCAGAGGGGAATTCGAGTATCCGAGTTTTAGTTAACCGAGTAAAAATGAATGAAAAGTGGGATGAAATCCAAGGGAAATTGGACTTAGTTCGAGTGAGCGGGGAGTTTGAGCTATCCGAGTTCGAGATATCGGGGTTCTACTCTACAAATAAATGTAAAAAACCTGTAAAATTAATCGTGCAAACATCTTTTGCAGAAACCTTTAAAGCAGAAGGAAGCGTGATCTTCCAAACATCTTTTCTTCTTTGGCCGACTCTCGTGATGTAGTATCGGTATTGCCATGCAGCCCGACTGATAAAAGCAGCTGGAATCTTTGTGGATGTGCGAAAAAGGCTAATCGAGCGTGAGAAATCAAGGAACCTATCTTTGTGGCTTTTTTATTCTCATCGTAGGCGAGCCCGCAATGTTAAAAAAAGTCGCTGCTTTGGCAAATTGATTGGAGCCAAAAAAGGGTACACTTTTCAGTATAATTTATTTCTTTTAGTCATTCTGCATATATTACTTACATTCCGCATAATTATGTCATTCCGCAAGCCATGCCACATGCCATTCCGCAAACTCATTCCGTCTTTTATCCTCATCGTAGGTCAAATGAGGGATAAAACCTTTGAAACAGATGGTCTAATTCTGACAGAGTATAACTCTCCTTCCTTAACGATCTCAGTATAAAAAGACATTAGTTAACTTTAATTAGCTTATGCCCTACGTGTAGTAAATCGGCATTCTTCCTGGAAAGTTACACCACTAATGGAGAGCGCTCTGGTTTGCAAAATACCTGACACGAGAGGAAAAACTTGTGTACAAGGGCCTTTCGTCTTAGAAATGGAAGTGGAACAATTTTTTTGATGGCAGCCATTTGTAATGCGGCAATAAGCCAAAACAAACTTAAGTAAAAAGTAAACTCCTCAGTCGATTGGTATGACCATTTTTGGTTAACTGCCTGCTGTATGTCATTAGCGGCTCAGGTGGCTTCAAGACATGCGCAATGGCACGAAGTTAGACTGCATCTCATTACAGGGCCACCTAATGACTTGATGCTGCAAAATAACTGTTACAAAGAGCAAATTGATACTACCTCGAAATCTCTAAAGCTCCAGAAAGGCTAAAAATTTCGGAATAATTGTTAAACTCGCCTAAGATATGCGGAGCCTTTTTTACTAACTTTCCCACGCTTTTCAGAGATTTTTGTCAGTTTATATTTTATTTCCAAGATATCGTGATTATCGTTGCAAAAAAAGTCTTCTAACATTTTCGGTATAACAAGACGTCGCTTATGAAAGGACTGTTACTCCATGTCCTCAAACTTAGTCTTCCGCACCCATCAGGATAACCATCTAAAACGTTCGAGACGACCAAAGTACCGTTAAGACATCGGAACAGGTCACAAGTTTTAAGGGCAGCTTCAAATTAACCAAACAGGCTTCTAAATCAAAGAGAAAAACTTCTGAGATCCTTCTGACGAATTTATAAACAAAAGTGGTTGTTGGGTACCCATGTGTTATCACTGATTAACACCTGAAAGCTGTGCAAGATCCATCTAACGATTGGTACCAAGGGAATGTTGCTTTGAAGGAGCTCTGAATGTGTTTGAAAAAAAATGTTGTAAGGTTACAAGGACTGCAAAACAGTAAAAGCAACGACCTTTTTACGCCTCGGGCTGTTCCATACCCGGATGATACAGCTTTTTAAAGGTAATTGTAGAGGTTATAGATGAAACCTGTGAAGATGGTTTTGCGCTAAAAACAAAATCATCAATTACCGTACTAGTCAAATGTTGCGTATATCGATTAAGGTTTTGTCCTGAACATAATCACACCGAAGAGAGACTAAGGGTAAAAAACTGTTTTTTCATTTATTTTCCAAAAGTATGTCAGTTCTTCATTAGTAATAAATTATAGTAACAGTGGAACCCCGCTCATGCGACCGCCGTTGGGCCATAAAATCCTGGTTGCACTAACGAGGTGGTCGCATTAACGGGGTTCCACTGTTATGAAATAACTCAGTGACTTTTACGTTTGGGTCGAAAGAATATGTTCGTGTAAACAAGGTGGTCGTATAAACAGAGTGATCGTAAACCGAGGTTCCACTATAGTGCTTGCTACTGTGCTGCTACCGATTATATTAAATCATTTTTTGCAGAGCTCACGCTCAGATAGTCCCCTCAGATGGTCCGCTCAGATGCATAAATTTCACTTCGCAGCGAAGCATCATGGGGTAAGAAAATCTATCCATCCCAGAAAATAGATCACGTAACATTTTTTTCCCATGAGGTACATTTCTAACGTATTCGTAAAATTTCTCCCGAGTTGGCATTCACAAATATGAGTTTAACAGATGGTCGAAGATGGTCCGCTCAGATGCATAAATTTCACTTCGCACGAGTGCTTCGCTGCACGGGTTATGCTTGGTAAAACAAGTTATGTCACGGACATGCGTAGTACGTTATGCAGCCCTGTATAAGTGACGCAAAGAGAAGAAACTGGAATATGTGCATGTTGCTGTCAGGGTAAAACTTTTTTTTATTGAGTTATTTGTTCGCTGGACTGTACCGAGAACTGCACGCGTGGCTACTCTCGTGTGTTTGTGGTGTGTGCGTTTTGATTTGACGTCCAGTCGATTCCAACATTTCCACTTCATTTGTGACTTTAAAACAACGCGGAAGTAGCCTCTGCAGCAGTAATTTGGCACCCTGAAAAAATTGCTCATTAAAGATGAAATATATCCAAGGATTAATTCACTGTTAAAGCATACCAGAAACCAGGCAAGGAACAGAGAGTTCCGAGAGCAGGCAGTTTTTAAGCCAGAGAAACAAGCCAGCGCTCCAAAAATCAACGGAAAACGACAAACGATTACCACAGCAACAACAGTGACAAGCATTCCTAATATCTTGCGGTTCATCTGTTCCCGTCGATGTTGATTTGACGGTAGTTGGTTACCGGGTGCTATGGTGTGTTTCAGTTTGAATCCAATCGCAGCGTAGATGAGGATGATAGCAATGATATGCAGTAATACTACCACAGGGTAGCAGAATAATAAATAAATGATAACGTAACCAATGATTCCAAAATTTGAAGGTACAAACATGGAAGTCTGGCTCGAATGCGACTAAAGTGGTCATTTTGAATAACGGCACCATGAACACGATCGCAAAAATCCAAATGACGCCAATTAGAAACCGGGCGATACGAAGAGTTATTACTCTCTTGAGTGGATAAAACACCAGGAAGAAACGATCCAAAGCAGTCACAAGCAAACTTCCAGTAGAGACTAAGACTGACTTGAGATAAACGGCAAAGCAGCTTGCCTGCGACTCCCGTGATAAGCCACTGGTGGCTATATGCAGTGTCAACAATGCTGACGGGAACGGCATATATAGTGGGCAAAACATCAGCACAGGCCATGTTAAAGATGAAGCACAATTTTAACATTCATGACACAGAGGGATTTGATCCGTGCGAATCTGATCGCAACTCCTGTCCAAACAATACTCCCTTATTCGCATTTCAACCCATTACCACAGGCGATGTGCATAAGATTAATATATAGATTTAGCCAGGGCTAAAAGCGAGGCTCCCTTTAGTAAATTTATAACTTAAATTAAACAATAAACTTGTATTCGAATTCCACAATTCAGTTAACTTTAGAGCACATTTATGTGACTTTTGAGGGAAAGGCTACCTGATTTTAGAGAAAAATAATTTGCAAACAGCCCAAGAGTGAACCAAATCTTACATCGAGTTGATAGCCTCATATGTACACTCAAAAACTGGTAATCATCTTGGCTATTGATCACCGTCGATCAATTAGGCTTAGAAAAAAAATCAGGCCAACGTTTTGGCGTTCGACAAGTTTACTTTGCAAAATCTTGCCAACAAATCTGGGTGCGTGTAAACCAACCTTTTATACCATGGACAGAAAGCAGTATTTCACAATACAAATTGCTCTCATTCAATATTCATAAACTGTTAAAAAATTTTTCCAAAATCACCTATACGGCCATCCGGTTCTCACTTTTGTAGTGCGAGCTGTAGCGAGTGTTTGAATGAACATTAACAGAGTTACGCTCCAAGATAATAAAGAATTTATCATGTTTATTTTTTATTTGATGGTTTATTAACGCGCGGCATTTTGAGAACTCCTGCAAGCGATGTTCACTGAACGACTGAAAACAATCGGCATAGCGATTAAAATTGCAAGAGAGACTACCAAAAATCAATAAAAGAAATATAATTCGGTGAAACATAAACAGAGACAACAATTTTCATTCAGGAAGACAAGTATTAAAGTGTCCCTAAATATCCTGAGTCTTCAAGCTTCAAGCTTAAGTTTGCTGAAGTTTATGTTTTAAGCCAGCTTCCCGGTGTTTGTTTTTTCAAAGACGAACTCGAGGCAAGAAAATCGCTCAAAGCTTTCTTTTCCGGCTAGAATTATAACTAAAGATTCTTTGGAACATTTTCTTTCTATTTGCGGTGAGAAACTGTCTAAAGGCTTTTTTAAAGTTCTGTAAGATTATATCAAACCAGATACTCGGTGAGATCGTTGTCTCAAAACTTACAAACGCGCATAAACTAAATTCCCGCATAAACTACGCTCCACTTCATTAAATTAGATACAAAAAACAAACATGAAATACAATAATTTCTCTGGCTTACCATTCGAGATGCAGCTCCTGAAAGTTTTCAGGTAAAGCCAGTATCGCTTCAGACTTTGCAATCCTCTTACGCATCAAGCAAGGTGAAAACGAAAACGATGCCATCCGAAATCGGATTTCCGACTTTGACAAGCGACGTTTTCTCAACCAAAAACCCAATAAACAAACTAGCCATGAGTAACAGAAGACTCCTGATAGCAGCTGAATTTCATTTTGTACATCCAGTGGAAAAAGACAGTTAAAAACATCACAAGTTGACACAAAACTCTGTCAGCTTCAGCTGTTAAAGTAAACAAGATTCAAGATGCTGCATAAATTTTGCGCATGAACTCACATGTCAAATTTTGACCAATCAGAGCATAAAAATTGGACGTAGAGCGTGACCAACGCGTGACCATTGTGAGAAAAAACAAAAGCAACTGTCTTCCCTGCCTGTAACAGCTGGCTGAATTTTCACATCCGAGGTCAGTTTGCAATGAAAATTTTAATTGTGCAGCACATAAACACAACATATTTCATATGAATTAAGAAAAAAAATTGAACTTGAGCCTGCGATCACTTGAAAACTAGTTTACTTGTCAGCGGATAACTTCAAAAAATACTTGACCTCGACGGGTCGACACCTGAGCCCGCGATACGGTCAAGTGATACTGGTCAGCGGGTACTCTGTTTTGACAGCTGTCAATTGATCAAAACATTGATGTCCAATATGTGTGCATTATCAGTTTTCCTGTGCTCCCAAACTAGTAAAAGTATGAGATTGAACGTTGTTCGCGATCTAGTAAGACAGTTAACTGGTCAGCGGACAGCTTCCAAATAAATCACGTCACCTCGATGAGTTGACACATGAGCCCGCGATATGGTCATGGGATACTGGTCAGTGGCTATCCTGTTTGGACAGCTGTCAATTGACCATATTATTAATGTCCTATATTAAAGATGTGGGCTTGCCAAGACACGCCAGAGATACCCCTCCCTTCCTTTTGATAGTCTCCCCTACCCCACCCATACAATCTGTAGACGCGTACGTACGTACGCTCGGTCAATCACGTGACAACCAAACGAAAAGAGGTTGACCAGGCAGGGCAGAAAAACCGCTGATTGGTTGCCGTTTTCGCGGCAGTTTGTGCTCTCCGCTGACCATCTTACAACGAATCAAGTAGTCTACAAAAGAGAGCAAAGTTTGAAGCCAAATACATAGTTAACCATGACTAGTTCGGTGATTATGATCTGATATCCCCAAACTAGAACTCATTGACAGGCGATGTCAAGAGTTGTAGCGAAATCAGATCAGGAATACACTTAGGGTGCTTGATGAAAATGCGCGGAACAGTGTGTAGTTCATAGAGACATTATACGACCAATAGCTCTTAAAAAATTTGCAAAAATAAGAAACAGGTGGAGTATTTAAGGTTCAAAATTCGACCAACCAAAAGGCTAAAAGCCAAGAAGCAAAATAAGAAATACGTAAAAAAATCGAACAGTACGTTTTTCTGTGGCTTGCTGTTTTTTGTTTTTGCATCCCCCTCGCGGCGACAACACTCGAACGTAATCGCCGGTGAGAAGCTTCCACAAATGTACAGCCAATCTTACCTCTAAAAGGATCGATCCTCTTGCACTTAGAAGGTAGATAGCAGCGCTAAAATATATTTCCTTGGACAAGTAAAAAAAAAGAAAAGATTTGTAAACACCAAACTCTTCGCCTACGGCTTGTGTCCACTTACTGACTGGTAGGCGCAAGCTTCCCGGCCTCATGCTTTGCGCGCGAAATTATGAATGAAACTGGAGACGCCGCTCGTTTTTTCCCGCTTCAAAAAGCTTCAAAAATGTCAAAAAATAGTTACCGACCGCTTCACTGTCAAGTTCCGGTCTTTTTGCGTGCGTTTCCGGCGGAAACTTCAGTCCAAAGTTGATTAAATAATGGTAAATGTTTGTGAACGTGGCTCCAGATTAAGAAGCGTGTCAGAAAAGTGTTGGGGTGCCACTAATTTTTTATTCGAGAAAAGAGGCTGTTCTACGTGGCTACTCTAGGCCGGTTTGGCTATGTTTTGGTCATGCAAAAAAATTGCAAGTGGAAAGTCAAAGGAGGTGCTGTTTTCCGAGTGAAAATGCCTGCACCCAAAGGAACAATTTACTGCCATGTCCGCAGAGGATTCTCACCGTAGCAGCAAACCTTGAAAACTACCAAGGAGGTGCATTTCTTTGCCAAGGCCACCTAAATCTCGTGGACGAAGCTCCCATATTTACCAACCACGCTCTCTACAAACCCCCTACTACGAGAAAGGTATGTTTCTTTGACACTCAAACAACAGTCAAAATGTAGAGAAACAGATCATACATTCTTAGTTTTGTTTTAGAAAATATTCATATTTTGCATTAAATTTTGCCCTATACATTTGTAGACAAAATGTACTACTTCAGTCCTATGTACTACTCCAGAAAAGAAAATAACTTGGACGGATGGAACCTCTCAGACCGCCCCTTTGCAGAGTGTTAATGAGCTAGCAGAGGCAAAACAATTAATCACCAAATTACAGCGCGAAAATGCAGCATTAAAAGAAAGATGCAACAAGCTAGAAGGTATTGTATTGACGTACTCTTAATTTCCACACATTCAAAACAAAGACGACTAGTTTCAACCTTTATTAGAAACATCTTTTTATTAATTTTCAGAGCCAACTTTTGATGAGCAGTTCAAAACGTTCCACAAGTGTCTCACTAAACATTACAAGGATGGAGGGCAGCGGCTATACGACCCTGCAGACATGGAAAAATTTGCCAACAAGTGCACCCCTGGATTGTTCAACCGTGCCTTGTGTTTAGTCAAGAATGATGAAAAACAACAGCTTTCTAAGAAAAGACATGAAATACTGAGACTGCGAGTTGTGGCACTGCTTCATCAGCTGTCTTACTTTAGAAACCAAGTGTGTATAATAATAATAAAAAATAAAATAAATAATAATACTAATAATGATAATGGTAATGATAATGATAATAATAATAATAGTAATAATAATAATAATAACAGGAACCATACTTTAGAAAGACACTTAAATTAAATTAAACACCATGGTGTGTAATAGACACAAGTGTTGCTTGTTTGTTTTCAACAGAAAAACAATCCCTTACAACAAGACTGTGGGTTGCACTAGTCCTTTCATGGTGCCAGTGATGATGCTTTGACAGCTGGCTCACTTCTAGGGTTTAGCACTCACCCGAGAAGTGTGCTAAATCATAAAAAAGGATTGTCTGGAAAAAGCATTCACAAGACACAAGCGATCGTTGAGAGTGCCATAAAGGTACATGTATTTACGTACTGAAACAATTCATTATTAAACATCTGCCACTGCACAACACCCTGGCCAAAACAATAAGTTGACACAAGGTGAGGTGGCTGGATGTAAAGAAGCAGGGGCTAAATAGAAGGCACAAGGACCTTGTAACAAGGAGACAAAAACAACAAAAATAGAGTGATTTTATTTGAACCGTGAAACAGATAGTAACAAACAGTGCAAAATAGCAAGAGGTAAACAAAAGAAGACAATGGAATTAATACATAATAGTGCATAGTATTCTTCTACCTGTTTCACGGTTTAAGTAAAATGACTTTAATTTATCAGTCCATAGATGTACACTGATCCAGTTAAAAATTTCCTCCCCAACAGAACAAAAACTTCCTCCTGCTCATTATAGATGATTTTCATTGTGTCCAGTCTATAAAAGACCCCAAACAGAGCCAGCTGAGCAAGTGCCTTCACATGTGTACTGGAGTAGTGGATCACCAAGAATCTATACCGGCAAAGCCAACAACAAGAAATGTCCACCGGGTTGTACCTGTCCGAATTGCTGGGGGTGCAATTGTTAACTGCCGGGGAGGAATTGATGCCAACAAAGTGAACGAGTTGTTCCAAGAGCATTTGTCAAATTATTTTACATTCAGTTATTTAGACTCTCTACCTGCTGATTTCAGCCAGTTTGACCTGACAAATGTAAACAAAAGTTTAGTTGAATTAAGGTATGATTTACAACAAATCAGAAACCTAAAAGTCAAGGTAGTGGTCTAATAGTCATTGGGTGCCACAAGCTTGTACAAAAAAAAATAATATAACACTTTTAAGTAATAGATTTTAGTAATGTATTTCATCCAAACTTTTCATGCCATTTAACACTTTGGCATAAATCAATGCCACAGAAATTTTACGATTAACTGGCACCATAAATATCTTTATTATAAATTCCCCCTCAAAAATGAAATTGGCAACTCCCAATGTCAATAACTAGTTTTACATACAGCCCATCATAAATTTTTTCCACATACCACTTTGCATTGTCTCACAATGTAGGAATTTGAAATGGAAAATTTAATATTGAATGGATAATTGACTTTCAAAAAATGTTGCATAAGGGTGCCAAAAAAGAGCATGTACAATGTTTCATGATACAAACAATAACAAATACCTTGTAGAGTGTATACAGATGAGGCCAGACATGACTTGGATTTGCTGTCCAACACTTGGCTAGTTGACGAATTTGAACAGTCCCTTAAGAGCATGGCAAATTATAGACAAGCAATGCAGCACCTCAATGAAGTTTGCCGATCACTAAGCGAATACATGGAAAAGAACCTACTGCTCTTAGCTGGTGATTGGCCAACATGGTACTACAACAAGAAGCTTCCCCTTAGGGTATGCCTGGAAGGGTCAAGAACTAGACCCACTGTTGGCTTGTGATGCAGCAGATTGCAGAGCAGATGACAATCTCCTACTTGCAGTTCAGCGCTTCAACTGTGGCCACACATTTCACAAAAGTTGTCTTGGTAGTTCCTCAAACTGTAACGATCATAACTACTCAATACTGTTCGGTGTCAAGTGCCCCATTTTGCTCTGAGCAACTTCCTTTAAGAATCCAAGAACTTGCAGACAGTTTCAACAAAGGTTTACTGGCAGGAAATGATGAAACTGACGGAAGCAATGATAATCATGATGACGACGATGATGATGATGGAAGTGACAACTCAGATGATGATGACAGTGATGATGATGATGGCAAACCTGATACACTAGCAAATAAGATACTCATTAAAGCAAAACAATCCCTTTTGCATCTTCCACAAAGTGCTTTATTTAAGTACAGCAACAAAAATTCCAAGAATGTAAACTCCACCGACTCTACTGGAGAAGCAGTAATTGTTAATACTAGTATGGTGTGTGTCACATGTGGCAGGGTCTGTAAGAGCAAAGGGGGCTTGACTCAGCATCAGAACACCCACAAAGGGGTAAATAGTTAAGTGTTTCCCTGAAATGAGAATAACAAAACAATAATCATTTCCTTTTTTAGAAGCAAATCCAAACAAATAATACAAGCCCTTTGTTTCATGTAAAATACCTTGAATAGGAATAGGCATGATAACACAGGAGAGAAACCTTAAACAATGCCTTTGTTGTTGCCTTTGTCTTGCTATAGGTATCTCAAAACAATGCAACTAGCTAGATAACAAACAAGTGATCTTGTGCTTGCATTTGGAGTTAGGTCCATACAATATTATATGAGAACTTTGCATGATAAAAGATTAACTCAGCCCAAGTACTATGCCAGTGAGAAAAATATAGTGATCGTCCTGTCGAGAATACTAATAAGGGACAATGTGATGTACAGGAGTAAGATAGTGTCTTCAAAATATTCGATGTTATTTTGAACATGTAAATATAATAAGATTTTCACTTCAAAATATCACATTGTATATGGGCAAGGATTGTGTATAACTCTGCTAATTCTGGATACATGTAAGCTTAAAAATTCATCCTTAAAATTTCACCTTTCTTAAAACAACCTAATTTTGTACAGTAAAATCATTCCAAATCTATATCAACCCCAAAACAAAGTTATTAACTGTATAAATCGGTTGGTATAAATTGATCTAAAGAAATTACAAATTGGACAACGCGTACAAAAAAATAATTTCGCTTCTAGCGGAACAATGTAAACAATTCACATCAAGGAATTCATTGAACAGTGTGGATATATATAACCTAGAATCAAAAGCCCATTAAACTTGTAACTCAGGGTGCTATGAAGTGCTATTTTGTTCGGAAGTTTGGTTACTTTTAGCAATAGCTTCGCCAACTGTTAGGTGCCGCATTATACGCCTGCACGCAGCGCACGCTGCACCGCCGCAATCTCGTGGAGGATAAATAGCATCCAATGCAAATTTCGGTTAACTCATTAACTCTAAAAACGTTCACTATGTCAAAGACGAAAAATGCCTTACCTTTAAACTCAGTTGTGTAACTATCGGATCACCGAGACTTGTTGCAGGAAAACCAAACAATCGCGTAGAAGAAAGTTGATCGAAAAAAGCACATGGTTTGCTTGGCACGACTCCGTCCGTTTAACGTAATACAATCACAAATATTACCTCCAAAGCGAAGCAAAGCAAAATGATACTATTATGTACAAGGCCTTTCAGTGATGTATTTCAACACAGTGCTCTTCAATTTTCGGCCAAACATCCCACATTCATGATCGCTCGATTGTAGCTCCTTCGGATCGCTCATTCTTTTGAACCAACTGCATCTGCATATGGTCAGCGGAAGGCGCAAGCGCATGCTCTCCGTGGAATTTTTTTTAACCAATCAGCGGTTTTTCTGCCCTGCCGGTTGACCATATTCCATGGGTATGGGGCTCTGTCCCACGCGCGCTTCGCGCGCGCGGGAGCCCCGCTATTAAGACTCTATTCATGTTTGATGCAAACATGAATATGACCACACATATTAACAGCATATGTCAGGATATTTATTACCATCTACATAACATCCGGCGTATTAGAAAGTATTTATCATATGACAATAGGAAGTCCATTGTACAGGCTATTATAATGTCACGATTAGACTATTGTAACGGTCTATTATATGGTACGCCCGCTGTTCATCTTGGTAAACTGCAACGCCTGCAGAACGCGGCAGCTCGGCTGGTATGTACTGTATCTAGGTATGATCCTATCACACCATCCCTGATCAACCTGCACTGGTTTCCGGATACCCACAGAATAGAATTCAAGATAGCTATGCTAGTTCACAAATGTATCTACGGCGTCGCACCACAATTTCTTTTAGACTTGATAAAAATCAAAGAGAGCTCGCGGTATCAGTTGAGATCATACCGGGGCATACTCCTTATGGACAAATACCTATAGAACAAAAAAGACACTCGGGGACAGGGCGTGTGAAAATGCTGCGCCCAAAGTATGGAACCGACTCCCTCTAGAAATTAGACAATGTCAATCATTGAACATTTTTAAAGATTTACTAAAGACACATCTTTTTAAATTAGCTTTTTATTAGTTCTTTTATTAACTCATATGTTACTTTTATTGTTTTCCGAAAATTGTAAATTATTATTATTATTATCATTATTTGGATTAGCCATTTATTACTTTAAGATTTTAGTGTTGTAATGCGCATTCGATCATATCTTTATCGCATGCTAGACTGCGCAATATAAGAAATAAACATTATTATTTTTATTATCATTACCTTCATATAAAGCTCCCGGTTGTGATAAAGTTAGCGCCAAAATCCTGAAAGACAGCTCACCAGTTATCGCTCCCATTATAACAACTCTTATCAACAATTCCTTTACTTCGAGTACTTTTCCACTTCCATGGAAGAAAGCAGAAATCGTTCCAATTCTTAAGTCCGGGGGCAGTGAAGAACCTGCGAACACGAGGCCAATATCACTACTGCCTATTTTATCTAAAGTATGCGAAAGAGCGGATCATTCGCAGTTTACCAATTTCCTCGATTCAAACAATGTCATACATCACCTGCAAAGTGGAAATAGAAAACTTCACTCAACCGAGTCTGCACTACTTCACTTCACCGATGAATTGCTTAATAACATGGATCAGAAGAAGACATCTGTTGTTGTTCTTTTGGACATGTCCAAAGCTTTTGATAGCATTCGACACGATTTAATGTTACGTAAACTTCGCAAATCTGGTGTATCTGAGTCTGAGTGTGCCTGGTTCGAAAGCTATTTATCGCACCGTCAACAAGTCGTTAAATTTCAGAATACTGTATCTGATCCCTTACCCCTTACGGCTGGGGTACCACAGGGATCTATCATGGGCCCGGTGTTGTTTACATTGTATGTAAACGACCTCTTTCGTGTTCCAAAACATTGCCAACCACTCGGCTATGTGGACGACACCAAGCTCTTCCTTGGATTCCCCGCCAGCGAACTTAGCGACGTTATCTCTGCAGTAAACGAAGATCTTAAAGAAATATCGATTTGGTGCTGTAGAAATTCGCTGCTCATTAATCCAGACAAAACAAAGCTTCTTTATGTGGGCGTCTCACAACTCATGAGGACATTACCTACCCCCTTACCAAGTGCGACAATGCTGGGAACTCAAATCAAGCCTGTAACAGTTGCAAAGGACCTGGGAGTGTATATAGATTGTCATCTTAACTTTAACGAACATATCACTAAAACTGCTTCTGACTGTATGTTTAAACTAACGAGAGTTAAGAGGATAAAGCATCTCTTAGATAAAAAAAACATTGGTCTATCTTATAAATGCTTTCGTTTTCAGCAAATTATTTTATTGTTCGACGGTTTGGAGTAGCACGAGCAAGAAGAACGTTAGAAAACTTCAACTAGTTCAGAACTATGCCTGCAGAACAGTAGCTGGTTTAAGAAAGTACGATCATATTTCAGAAGCCCTGAAGTCCCTTAAATGGCTTAACGTAAGGGATAAACTGCTTTTTAACGACCTAGTGATGGTGTACAAATGCTTAACGAACCTAACACCTGGTTACCTCCACATACGCTTCCAATATCGCGCAAAAACTCAGCAAAGAGTCACAAGACAGAACAAAGACCTTGTACCTCATTTCGGTGGCGGTACATCATCTGTACCGCCACCGAAATGATCCCCACCATCGAAATGATCCCCGCCACCGAAATGATCCCCAATCACCACCGAAATGATCCCCACCACCGAAATGATCCCCAATCACCACCGAAATGATCCCGTCATAAATTTTCGGAACCTTGGCTTAAATGGACTTGGGACTTTGCTATCTATTCTAAATTCTTCGTTTATTCATGCGAACACGATTCTAAACAGAGGAAAATAGAGAAAGCAATTAGACGGATAACAGTTCTATACACTGATTTTATTTTCGAAATTTTAACATTTTTTTTTAAGGAACTACATAAAACTGCCTTGAACAGGGAACAGGTTTATCATATAACGTGATAACGAGCAGATTACAACTAGTTTTGCGTTAAAAACTTCACAGTGTTAGAGCATGGTGCCAGGCTATAAAGTGTCAGCACATTTCGTCACACTATTCTTTTATGTCAGAAAGAAATTCACAGATATAAATGTCGGCTCACTCCATGACATCAGGGTGAGTTTCCATGTACTGGCAAAGGTCGCACACAGTCTGGTCGTCACAATAATACCGAACGCAACCTCTTTCACTTACACGTATACCTGATGATACGCTCTGGTATTTCTTCCCGCACTCTGAGCAGTACTCTTCAGTTATTTTTCCCTCGCCATACTTGTCGATCAAGAAATCTACAGCACTTTGGGAAGACCTTGTAGAAACCACCGGCTCTAAAGAGTGATAATGGTATTCTGCTTCGTGACCAAGTAGAGCCATAC